ACTTCGAATCGGCCGGCATCCATCCTCCCACTGAAACCACGCCAAAGCTTCTCCCTCAAGACTCACCACCGCAGCGTCCAATTTCTCTCTCTCCGTCATCCGATTCATGGCGAAAAATCTTTCAGCACGAAAGATCCAACCGTCAGGGTTGTCTCCATAAAAAACCGGCATTTCCACTCGTCGCGTTCTGAATTCTGCGTGAGCTTCACCTTCCCGATGCAGATCCTCCCTCGGTGCCGGTGGTTCCGCAGCCGTGCCTTCCGTGGCCCACAGTGGTGCCTGATCGGCCGATTCTCTCCGTCTCATCAACTTGTCCAACCTCTCAAGCAACATCTCCATTCCTTGCTCAAGTCTAGGTATCTTCTTCAAGTCCTCTCGAATTCCTTCCATTTCTTTCTGGAATTCCTCCCGACTTCCTTCCGACTTTTCCTTCTCACGATCTTCGGTGCGTTTCGTCATTCCCAGACGTTACTGCTCTAATACCAAATGATAAACTCCAGATCAATTAAACAACAGAATAGACTAAAGAAAGGGAATTTGTATTGCTGGAACTGAGAAATCAACAATGGCGGATCAATTAGTCACAAGATCGGTATGGGATTTTCGAGAGATCATGTGCTCTCCGAACAACTTCTTGTGAAAGTCTAGTAAATTCTCTGATACCCTCCTTACTCTACTCCTGACTTATTTATACACACCATCCCTCAACGCACGAGTCTAACTAACTACCTAACTAATTGCTGACTCAGCCTCTTTCTTCTTCTCTTCACTTGCTGACTCAGCCCCATTCTCCAACTCCCTCCAAGAAGCCCTTGCGCTTCCTCCGAACATAAGTATAACGCATGGGAGGCTTATCACATACTCATGTCCATCTTTCTCCATTACCATATCGTGCATCTAAAACATTCATTCTTATCCATAGTGACACTTGGGGACCTTCTCATATTTTGAGTTTCACTAACAAAAAATGGTTCATAACCTTCACTGATGACCACACACGGGTCTGTTGGGTTTATCTTGTAAAAGAAAAATCCGAAGTCGGGAATGTTTTCAAACAATTTCACACCATGATTAAAACACAATTTGATGAGAATATTAAATTCTTGAGGACTGATAATGGCACCGAATTTTTTAATGCCATGTTAGGGGAATTTGTGCAAAATAATGGGATCATCCATCAAAGTTCTTGTGTCAACACACCTCAACAAAATGGAGTGGCCGAGAGAAAAAACTGTCACCTTCTAGAAGTTGCCCGGTTGTTACTGTTTATAGCCAACCTTCCTAAACGCTTTTTGGGTGATGCAGTTTTGACTGCAACATACTTGACAAATAGGGGTACCCTCTCGAGTTCCCCAATAGAGTCCCTATATAAGTTCTACCCAAAAGCTCGTGTTCCATCTTCCCTAGCGTTAAAGGTGTTTGGGTGTGTAGCCTTTGTTCATAATCTAGATCCTAACCGTGGGAAATTAGACCCTAGAGCTCATAAATGTATTTTCTTGGGATACTCTACAACTCAAAAAGGATATAGGTGTTATTCCATAGAAAGAATGAAGTATTTTGTGTCTAGGGATGTCACCTTTTTTGAAAACCAACATGTTTTTACCAAAAATTCCCTTCAGGGGGAGAAAATATGGGAAGATAATTTTTGGGAACAATCAAAATATCCGGTGGTTTCAAACTCTAAATCTTTGGACCTTAAGTCTTGGGAATCTTTTTGGGATTTTGCTACTCCACCAGAATTCACAAATCTTGGTTCTAGGGATCCTAGCCTTCCTGAAACGTTTCTTGGAATAGAGAATCGTGGTAAAATGATTGAAAATACTCTTAGCTTAAATCAGACATATCTTCCTATTATAGAATCTGAGAGTTCCCCATCTAGCCGTGTAGAGTTTCCAAAAATACCTTCAAATAATTCCACTGAAAATCCGGAAATTACCCTGTCAAACTTACCCGATACAAGTCCAACATCTAACCTACCTGTACCCAAATCACCCGATCTTGACCTGCCACACACAATCACAGACAAGTAGGTGACCCTTCACAACCTACCACTTCCATACAGGTTCAAGACCCTAGGAATCCAACGTCTAGAATGCAAGAGCATAAAAGAATAAAGGAGGGTGGCCTGCAACCATTTGACATAACCTATTCACGCAAGAAGAACCAAAAAGTTGTAGAAAGTCAGAAAGTTCCTCACCACCAAGAATCAGACCCAAAGATTGGTCTTGAAGGGGAGTCGATGAATTAGATTATAACCATTGCTCTGAGAAAGGGTGTTCGATCCTGCACTAAACATCCTATGGCCAACTATGTAGGGTATGATCATTTGTTGAATTCAATGAAAGCCTTGGTGACCAATATGGCGAGTGTAGTAATACCGAAAATATCCAGGAGGCAATGGGAAAGGCGGAATGGAGATGAGCTGCTTTGGAAGAAATGGGAGCTCTAAAGAAAAATGGGACGTGGGATGTTGTTAAAAAACCCAAAGATAAGATCCCGGTCGGGTGCAAATGGGTATTCACGGTCAAGTATAAGGCAGATGGATCAATTAAGAGATATAAAGCACGGTTGGTGGTTAAGGGCTACACGCAAACCTATGGGATCGATTATCAGGAGACTTTTGCACCGGTAGCCAAGATCAATACTCTCCAAGTATTGTTATCTCTAGCAGCAAACTTAGATTGGTCGTTAAAGCAACTTGATGTGAAAAATGCATTCCTTAATGGTGACTTGGAAGAAGAGGTTATGCAGCTACCACTTGGATTCAATGAAGATGGAATGAGTGATGAAGTATGCAGGTTGAAGAAATCCCTATATGGCCCAAAGCAATCACCATGGGCTTGGTTTGATCGGTTTACCCAGGTAATTAAAGAGCAAGGATACAAGCAAGCTGGAGGATATCACACGTTCTATCAACACAAGGATGGGAAGGTTACGATACTAATTGTGCATGTTGATGACATTATCTTAAATGGGAATAGTCTAGAAGAAGAGCAAAGACTTAAGAGGAGGTTAGCAGAAGAATTCGAGATAAAGATCTTAGAAGCCTCAGGTATTTCCTTGGAATAGAAGTTGCTAGAAATAAAAGTGGCGTTTCAGTCTCTCACACCTCTTAAAAGAAACCGGGATGATGGGTTGCAAACCGGTGGAAACCCCTATAAAGCCAACTGTGAAAAAGGAAGGTGTGGGAGATAGTAGCCCTATAGACAAGGGCCGTTTTCAACATCTAGTTGGGAGACTTATCTATTTGTCTCATACTAGACCTGATACAGCTTTTGCAGAGAGTTGAGTAAGTCAATACATGCACTCTCCTACCGAAGAACATTTAGAAGCTGTGTAGAATTCTGAAGTATTTAAAAGGAACCCCTGGGCGAGGATTGTTTTTCAGAAAAGGTGAGGAAAGAAGTATAGAGGTCTACACAGATGCAAACTGGGCAGGAACAATTGATGACAGAAAGTCTACTTCAGGATATTATACACTCATATGGGGTAATCTTGTAACTTGGAGGAGCAAGAAACAATCAGTTGTTGCTAGAAGTAGTGCAGAGGCAGAATTAAGAAAGTAGCTCACGGGATATGTGAGGTTTTGTGGCTGAAAATGTTGTTAGATGAGCTCAAGGTTGGAGTTACACTGCCTTTGCGTGTATATTGCGACAATAAGGCAGCCATAAATATCTCACACAATCATGTTCATCATGACAGGACCAAGCATGTGAAAGTCGATCGGCATTTTATCAAAGAACAAATAGAAGAAGGAATCATTTGCATGTCATATGTTTCTACGAATGAACAAGTAGCTGATGTTCTGACCAAGGGATTGTCTAAACCCTTGTTTGAAAAATTAGTAGACAAGCTGGGCATGTATAACTTGTACTACCCAGCTTGAGGGGGAGTGTGGCCGAATATAGAATTACTTATGGAGGAGGATTATTAGCCTATTTTAGAATAAATATCCCTAGAATTAAGGGATTAGTGTTTTAGGCTGTTTTCGTTTTTTATTTTTTGTTTCTTGATTTGTTATGTTTCCATTTTTTGTTATCTTTTGGCCTCACCTATATAAGGTGGACAGTATGTATAATTTATTTTTAAGGGAATAAGATTATTGAGTGTAGTGTTTTCCTTTCTTTGCCTTCTCCTCGTGTTCTTCCTACAGTTTGTCTATTAAAACCAATCTAATGATATACATTTGCAGCGATCAAAAACAAAAGGTATACTTTCTGAATAACCACAAAATGCAAGGTACAAAGAGGTAAAAACCCTTTTTTATATTATTATTCTAAAACCAAGGCCACAATTTTCAAATTGTGCATGTGGCTTGACTAGGCTAGGCCTTTTGGTACATCCATTATTCTTATAGGACAGATCATTTCACTCTTTCACTTGCTTTTAATTGAGGTAACTAGAAACCTGCTTCATGGATCGTGACCAAATAAGTAATGCTTCATGTTTATGTTGTACTATAACTGAGAGCCTAAGGTCCCGTTTGGTTCGCAGGTTTAAATCAGAGTGGTTTTAACCTTTTGGTTTAAAACATATTGGTTTGAAAAGTGTGGTTTATACCTATGGTTCAAAAAAAAAAAAAAACAGAGAGAGAGAGCAAGGAGAGGGGTTGTGTTTGAGATTTTGGGTTTACATGTGAAATCTGAGAGTTTACACATCAAATATGAAGGTTCAAACCTAAACGTTCTTTTGACATCCAAACATTGTTTTGGACCAAACCTATAGTTCAAACCACCCAAACCCACATACCAAATAAGGCCTAAAAGTGCATACATATGCTATTTTTTACTTGTTTGCAACAACTTAACTTCAACAACAAGCATATACTAGGAGAACATGAAAAAATAAGAAATGCTAATGAACTCCATCGTAAACCTCAACTACCACTTTTAGAAGTCATAGATGTTATAGTTCACAAGCGTATCTCTACATAGAGCAACACAGAGTAGGTATCCTCATATGAAAAACTTTAAATTCAGCAAGAATTCGAGAATACGTACTTATCTATTGGACCAGACCACTCGGGAACTTCTGCTTGAAAATCTTTGCCAATCCGGACACGTGTTGTGCGAGGCTCAATGTCTCTCAACATTAATGCTAGAGGACTTGTTTTTCCTTTGGATGATAAACTTTTATATCCACTCAATTCACTAGTAACATATGGCAATTTTCTCCTCACATTGTCCTTCAAAATTTGTTCCCTCTTTTTCATACAAGAATGACAAAACCATTCGTCAAGAGGTGCTTTCTTCAAACGGGGGTTGCAGCAAGACAAGTGAAAAGCCTCTTCACAATGATCACAAATCAGCAACTTGATTGTAATTTCTGAACGAGCACAAATTTTGCACGAACGGCAATAATTGTGCCTGTCACCATTGTCAACACCAATGACTTCAGAAGACGCACAACTCCTAGTTGAAAAATCTCTTTCCAACAGTCCATGGCTTCTAAGAATACGAATACAAAATTCCTTTTCTGATAGATCATCTCCCATGTACTCCATCACTACCGCACTAGAAGAGGAGCACTCGCTCGTTTCATCCATTTTAATTGAAGACGAAACTTGTTCTGCATTTGACTTTGATGATGAGCAACTATCGTTTAAACTATCTACCTCTAATGTCTTTTGCACACTAGTTTTAGGTGCCCTATCGACTGGTAGGGCAACATTTTGTTCCTTAGTTGTAACTGAAGGAGTATTAGCGCTAACAATGGAAAAGGACTGTCCACTTCTCCTTGTGCTACCCTGTCCTTGTCTTGGAAGACTGGAAATTGAGTTCCCCTGCAACTTCCTCCGTTTGTATACACGATTGGGTGTAGAGCTTATACTTGAATTTTTAGAAGACCCTTCCGGTAAAATTTGAGGACATGAATGATCCATAATCGTTTCGTCCTCTGCGATCAATTCAATCCTTTTGCAGCCACCATGAAACTTGTCACCGCCTTTCGGACACATCTGCCAAGTTTCACCAGGCACCAAATCACAAAATACATTTTGCTTCCCGTGCTCATATTCGCAAATTATTGCAGCTTCACTTATACTAAGAAGGGAATAGTTTACCATTATTTTTACCTGAAACAAAAGCTGCTGTGAAATCCCAAATTGCACAACCCTGATTCACTTCTTAAATATGTTCCCAAATTGAGTTCTATGCTAAGAGAGAAAACAGCCTCACAAGGTTTTTTCCTCTCTTCACTGCATTAATCTCCCTGATTTTTCCCAAAAATAAAAACTATCAAAATCAAAACCTTCATGTCAAATTGCAAGAGTAGATGCATAAATCAGAATAGTTTTATCCTTAAATTCAATTAAGCAGTTATTTCTAATAAATATTTGTATAAATCAATAGCACCACCACCACAGAATAGTTTTATCCACATCCGACCCGACTCCACGGTGAAGACTTCAAAGCCCCCACCCCAAGCTAAAAAAACACAATAAATTTCAAAACAAATATGATAAAGGCAATTCTCAAGTCAAACGAGTCCTAAAAACATTCCTAAGAAGACAACTTTACCACCACAGAAGAATAAAAATTGTGGTGGCAGGTGTAGTCTACTGGTAGTTCCACATCTGACCCGACTCCACCATAAGGTGAAGACTTCGAATCCCCCACCCCAAGTTAAAAATATATAAATAAATAAATAAATTTGAAAACAAATATGATAAAGGCAATTCTCAAGTCAAAATGAGTCCTAAAAACATTCCCAAGAAGACAACTTTACCAAAATTTTCCATCACCCACATGCATGCTAACACAAAATTTCCCATCTTCACAACCCATTTCAAAAATTTTAAACTTTGACCAATAAAAAGAAATTCTTCAGCAATAACAAACAAAACGAGGGCCGTTCTTGGAATAAAATGCATTTGTTTTCGAATTTCTTAATGGAAAAAATAATCAAAACACATTCAAGATCAATAATTCAATCTTTGGCTATGATTCAACGGAAAGAATCAATGTGAATTTACACAATTAGAGTTCTTGGCAGGTAATCTTTATTAATTTAACTACTATTTTCAAAACGAAGTGGAAAAGTACTTGGATTAAATGGATCTTAAATAAAAAAGAACACAGAAGAGAAAAGAAGAATAAGCAGTTACCGGGAAGAGGAGTTGCAGACGCCTGTTTGGTTCGCCCACGCTCGTCCGGTAGTCTCTAAACTCCCTCCCTCTTTCTCTCTCCTATCTCGCTAGTTTGCCTTTTCCTTTTTATACTTGGATTTGGCATCGGCTTGTGAAGGAGGTAATTTTAATGCTATTTATATAAGTAGATTCGGCTCACATGTGTTGTTTTTTCCAACGAAATAATATCACGTTAGTTGATGACTTTCCGGACGTTTGGTAAGCAGATTCGTACCCTGATTCGAATTATAGTTCATAATTTATTATAATATTTTTTTACAAAAAATACATGTAAATTAAAAATAATTCTAATCTCATTATTCTAATCTATGAACCAAACGTCTTGATATGACATAATATTTAATTGATATAATATTTTTTAATTAACGTGATATAATATTATTAAAAAAAATAAAATAAAAAATGAATAAAAAATATAAGAGTCTTATTAAAAGTGTAATAATACTATGTTAAGAAACAATATTTTTTTTCTAAACAAGTATTTTTAGAAATACTATTAATCAAGAATTTTAAAGTAAGGTATTAAAATGAAAGATGCTTATGGTGGGGCTTTAAAAAAAGTAACTACTGATAGATTTTTATTTTTAACTATCACATCTGTATATTTTTTAATTTAATGTGATTTTAATGAGATTTAATAGTCAAAACGGACACTACTTATAAGGGGCCTTACCTTCAAAGAACTCTAGAAAGATACTCAATCAATGGGATACAGTTTTTAATCATTAGGTCAAACTAGAATCATATCAAAATAAATAAATTGTTATAATTGAATATAAGGGAATAGAAGTACCATAGTTAAAAATTATGTCTTATTACTTAGTAAGGTATTTTTTAAAATTTGACTAAAGAGTTTTCCTTTTTATCATGAAATTGTGAATAAAATAAAATTGATACCTTCCTATAATGATCCACACCTTCATTTGGTACAATATCATTTGCTTCAAGCCTAAGTCGCACGATTTTTTCTTTTGGACTTTACCTAAAAAAGCCTCGTAGCATAGGAGGTTGTGTTCTTACTTACAATTAATCATTTATAACATTCCACGAGTGATGAACCCTGTCCTTGACTGTTTTCCCTCAAAAAATTGATGATTGTTTCAATCACCTCTCCTTTTGAGGCCCACCATACGAGTTGGCCACTCTTCTAACTAGGTTACATCACTTGGATGTGTGGGCCAATATATTTTGATAGGCTTAAAATAGACAATATTATATCAAGTGAAGGTACATGTTGTTACAAATGGTATTAAAGCTATAGCTTAGTCAGAAGTATGGTCAACAAGAAAATTGGGTCTCAAAAGGATAGGTGATCGTAATAGTCATCAATCTCTTGAGACAAAAAGGCCAAGATAAGGTAAGATGCACAATTCTACATTGCTTGGCACTGTTATAAATAATGGATTAAAAGTAAGAACCCCATCTTCATATGGTATAAGGTCTTTTGGGATAAAGCTCAACAAAAAATCGTGCAAAATTAGGCACAATAGCATGGATCGTTACAAATAATATCAGAACTATGAACCCAACTAGAAATGTTATTAATAAGGACACTAGATCACAAAAGATGAGGTGATTTTGACCGTCGTCGATTTGCAATGACTCACACTAACTGGAGGTGCGGGTTGATACAATATGATATGTCTAAAGCAGACAACGTTGTATCAAGTGGAGACGTGAGTCATTAAATGGTATCAGAGTTATAACTCAGATTGAAGTATGGCTAACAAGGGCATTAGGCCCTAAAAGGAAGAGTGATTATGGTAGTCATCACTCCCTTGAGATTAAAAAGACTAAGACAGAGTAAGTTGTGCATGTCATACCATGTTGAGAAGGTTATAAGTGATGGTTCATAAATAAATGCATTATCTCATGAGGCTTTTAGAGTAAATTCCAAGAGTAAAATTGTGTGTGCTTAGGCATAAAATAGACAATGTCATATCAAATGCAAGTGCCGATTTGTTAATAATATTTAAATATATGTATAAATATGTATATTTGATAGTCGATTTTGTACAACGCCCGTTCAAGGTTCTAAGCTTAATAATCTCGTCCTGGACTCATTTTGCGGGCCTAAACTATGCTCAGGAACTCGCGTATCTTGTGATTTAGTGGCCATGGGCAATCAAGGCCCCGTTCATTTTGCTGATTCGAGTTTTTTTACAGTAAAAACCTCTCACAAACAATCACATCTAACTTTTTTACTACAGTAAAAAGCTCTCACATAAAGTCACATCTCAACTCGAATTAAAAACTCGAATCAGCGAACTAAACGGGCCCCAAATGTTCCAATTTATACTCGATTCAATTAAATTTTAAATCTCACTTGGATTTTTGAATTAATTGAATTAAGTGTAAATGAGTGATGGAGAATTTAGCCTAAAAAATCCTTCTTTTACCTTTTAGAAGCCTAAGAAACTGAACTCGCAGCTCGTTGGCCCGTTCATTCACTTGCTCCTATAGTCGCTTCTCCAGCTCTCGCAATAATTGTATCTCTTGCTCAGGACAGTAAGAGGAAGTATCCATATTCCGATTCTTTCGTGGGGGCGTTGGACTCACAAGATCGTTATGCTCTTCTCTTTATCTTTTTTTTTAGAATATAATATGTCATTATTAATAAGAATAAACGTCAGTTACAATAAAAAATTCTATGAGTGTTGGAGTTTCTTCTAACCAAATTAGCTCATCATCTATGTTAAGAGCATAAGCGACCAAAGTAAAGACTCTATTAGCTTCCTTATACACATGACATAGAAAAAAAAGATAATAAGCTAGATACATCTGACAATAACTAATCAAACTTATTACAAAAAGAAGAAGAATGCTTCATAGTTTAGATGATTGTCAATGCATTAGATTTCATAAACTGAAGATTCAGACCAACATCTAAAATCCAAAAAAGAATCATGGAGATAGTTTTAGAATCAGTTTTATGAACTTAGAAAACATCATCAAGTTTCTTCGCAAGCGTTGTCATAACAAAACCTTCAGAGTCTCTAATAACTGCCTCTATACCCACAACTTTTTTTCTTGCAGGAGATGGCTTCATCAACGTTATGTTTATAACAATTAAGATCTAGAGGCATCCATTTGGGTGATAGACAAGAAAGATACTTTTCTGGATGAAAAGTGACCGATTATATTAAGCATAAGAGAATTCATAAAGATAAAGGTTAGTCCATTCCATTAAGAAAGAAGGAGAATGAAAAGAAAGAACATGCAATTCTTATTATCACCACAGATAACGGAAGACGTTTATGAAGAGCTCTAATTTATTTTTATAAAAAGATTTAGCCAAGAAGTAAAGAATATCTGAAAAGAATTGTTGAAATAGAGAAGAAAATAGTAAAAGAAAAAAAGGACGATTTCTAGACTTGTTTAGCAACTTGCAATGAATAAGGACAAGACTTGTAGACTCTAAAAGAATTTTAGCATAACGAACAAATTGCTGAAGGAATACTTGTTCTTTAGAAGAGACCGGCAGTAGTAGGTAATGCATCATGATAAAGCTCTCCAAGAAAAAGACTTAACTTTGTTAGGAAGAGACAGTGACCAAAAAAGATTTACCATTTTTGCATAGGGGCAGAATTGTCTGCAGCAGTTGCTAAGTGATAACCACGTTTAACTTGATAGGTTTCTCATTTGTGTTGTGCCAAATAAGAAGATCAAAAACTGACCGAACATTGATAAGTGCATGAAAATACACCATAAATACTGTTTTTTATCTATATAATATTAAAATATTTAAGCTTTAATTAAACGATTTTATTATTTTTATTCAGAATGTTTTTAATTAGAATTTGTCTAATTTTTACTTAATTATTTGCAGATAAAAAGCAGTGTAAAAGGCTACACAGGAAGAAGCCATTAAAGCCATGTTTTCAGTCAATCTAAAGAAGCCAGCCGAGCCAATCAGAGGGAGAGAGCTGCGCCATTCTTTTGCCAAGCCAACTTTGTGTGGCCCCAGATGTCTTGCGCTTTTCCTAGCTCGCACCGCTCGCGTCACTACCACGCAGGACTCCTGAGTGCGCATCTTCGCTCCGCGCAGTCTACAGCGTGTTCTAGCCCAGTTCTGTATGGGTCCCTGTGTTAGCGTGCCAGCCCAAGCCTCCTTTCCGCGCGCGACAGCTATCTTCCGCGGACCCCAGCTGTCTCCCATGATTGTTCAACGCCAGGCTGGCGTCCATTCTGCGCACGCCACTTCACCCGCATGCCCCCTAGCTGTCCTCCTCTCTCACCAGCGCTAGCACACTCCAATCACGACACGTGGCAATTTAATCCCTTCCTCCAACCGAGCTTGACACGTGTCCACTTGAGTGCTGAATTCGGATTTCTTTTCCACAGATTGCTTGATTTCCATCTCAAATCATATATCTGATTTCTCCTAATTTATGTGTAATTTTATTTTGTTTCCTCTTCTTTTATAATTTTTCATTTTGATTCTTTGTTTTCTTATTTAACAAGCAACCTCTGAACACTATAAATAGGGGTTAGCCTAAGGTTTTTGTTCAGTTATTCACATTCAGTTTTCTGTCGTCTTTCTGCCACTCTCATATTTTCTCTCTAGAACTTGTGAGAATGCTTTGCAAGCTAGGCTATAGTTTTCTTGGCGACGTTAGAGATGAACTTTTGTTAGTGACCCAATTCAAGTTTTGATTTCTTGTGCTGTAATGTTTAATATTTGAATGAATTAAATCTCATATATCTTTCATTTATTTTTTAAAATATTGTGTGTCAATTTTTATATGAGTTCAGTCACACTTTTCTTATGTAATTCTGTCATGCACTATTTTGTTATTCAAATTATTTTATAAATTGTCTTTTACTACAATATTGTCAAATTGATATATTGTCGATTTTGGATAACTTGTAATAATAATATTTTCAGAGTCAACATAGTGATTTAATTTATTTGATGCTTTTATTTTGCGAATCAAAATTTAAATTGGTGAACGGACATAAGAGATTCTCGACACCATACCATTTTCACTACTGAATTTCCTTCACATAAATCTTCTCTCCTTTAAATTTTATTTACAACAAAGTCTAAAAACAACTCTTCTTTTTCTTCAATTC